CAAAAGAATTCTGTGGGAGCCTTTTGTCTAGACATTGATATGGCCTGACTCATTTAATCCTCACAATGACAGGGTTTGGCATTAATGTCATTTTATAAGTGAGGAAACCCCAGCTGGGAAGGATTAAATGATTTTTCCAAAATCTTATAGCAAGTTGGTTCAAAAGCAAGGATTCAGACTTGAATCTGTCAGACTCCAAGCCCACTTCTGTCCATGACATCACCTGCCTCCGCTGTTGCAGACTTCTAGGCTGGGTAATATTTAGAGACGTATTTGGATCTTTCCACCTAGGCTTGCCCCAGCAGGGCAATATTCTGTCCTCTGCCAAGTGTGTTCTCAGTTCTCCAAGGCCTTCAGAGGCCCCATCCCTTAGCCTTCCAGGCAGTCCTGTCCAACCAGATAGCACCGAAGTGTAACCAGAACCGTAGCAACAGTCAGCAGTGTGGTGTCTGAATGTGCTGGGCTGTGTAACAAGCATTTTAAATGGATGGTCCCCATCCTTGCTCACAGCAATGCTCTAAGGTAGGAACCATTATGTTACTACCTCATCATGTCGCAGACAAGAAAACGGAATGCTGCAAAGGTTTTGTAGTAAGGTAAAGCAGCTAGTAAGTGTTGGAGAAGGGATTTGTTTGGACAGCGGTATACGGTGTCTTTTTCTCTCTTAACCCCCTTTGGTCCCTACTGGGGATGAACCCGACACCTTGGCATTCCAAACCTTTCACAGCCATGATCACTCTTACAACTCACTGGGTCCCCTTGACCTATAGGTTTTTCAAAACATTTTTTTAATAAACTCGTTCCTCCTCAGCAGAAGGTATTGGACAAGCATATCTTGTTTCTTTTTGATCTGGGAAATCTGGAACTCTGGGAAACAGCTTCATACCTAAAGGATTCTCCAGGAGACGATACTTTCCTATAACGTATTGAGTAATGTTGGTGCGTGCTGTCTGACTCATGGTGGTCCATCTATTTTGGGCCCCATAGGCCTTCTCCACTGAAGTGTCATCTTGATCAAATTGAACCTAGGTTCAATTTAAGCTATGATCTGTTGGAAGTCAAAGTTTATTTTATTGCCTACTCTTTAAAAGGGAGTTGGAGGATGGTTTTTAAAAGCAATAAAAAGAGCATCCCTGCTTCTTCTGTTCAAAGACCAGCTTGTGTTACCAACTTTACATCAGTGATATGGATCTGGACTTTGGCAAGTCCACGGAGCCCAGTCTGACCTGAAACGTACCAAGGGACCAAGTCAGAGGGGTCCTGGGGTTGAATTATGTGAGGGCTCTCCTGAGGGTTCCATATAATCTGACATTATTCATTTATCATATAACTGAATTTTGTATACAGGAACTGTATTAGCTTTGGGGGGTCTTTTTTACCATGGCCAGCCAATAAAAAGACTGTTTAAAATCTGTTTTTACAAAGATCCACCTAGTAAAGTAGATACCAATATATGAAATTAGACATTTACTAAATAGTTTCAGAGAGGATTGTAACAAGTCCCTGAATTTGAACCAGACTCCAGTGAATGCATCCTGTAATGCCTCTTGCCTTATTTTAGCCCAGAGTTTATTTGCTTTCATATGAGATGAAACTAGCATGGCCTGGGTAATTTACATGGCAGGTATTTACTTAGGACTAGTAAGCTGTTGTCACTGTTGCGCATCTGAGAAGACTATGACATCATGCCTGCCCTTAAAGGAACTCTACCACCTAGTTGGAAATAATTTTGGAAAGGGATAGACAGTGTATATAACATGATATCCAATTACTTACAATAAAGACCTCACCTTGGCCCTCTCTTTTTCTACTCCATTATAAATGACAGTTAAAAAGAAGTAAGACGTGCCTATTACATATCTGGAAAACACAAAGTTGGGAGTGAGAAATGAAAAGCTAACATATGGAATGATAGAAATAGTGGTGATAATAATTAGGAACTTCGTGCTGAAACCAAGTTGAAATTAATAGGAATGAACAAAAATCCTGCATTTAGTTTCAAAAATTCAATAGCTTAAGTACAGCTAAGAGCAAACTGTCATTTTCACACTAAAAAAAAAAAAAAAAAAATCCTGCAGGCTTTTTCATTAGCCCAAACCTTCACTTAATATCCTAAAAATGCTTACTGGGCCCTGGGCTCTAAGCAGGCACAGTGACATCTTGTCATCTGATGTACCTGCAAATGCAGACGCATTGGCCTATGACAGGCAGCCCAAAGGAGACAGTGTTCCCACTGACTAGACCCTGTAGGAAGTAGACACAACACTCTGAGAAGGTCCTCTTTGATAAAACGGCCTACAGAAGAGGGAGACGAGATTGGTGAGTGACCGGGAAACCAAGCTTTATAGAAATTTTGAAGGACCACAGGATGTTTAGTCTAGAGAAGAAAAGATTATAGGACTTTGATGGTTGTTTTCCAGCATTTAGAAAGCTATTGTATGACTACGAGAGGAGCCTTTAGACTTTTTGTTGGGGGGGGCGGTTATTTCAGTTCGACCAATGAGGTGACAGTTAGAAAGGAGCAGATTCATTTTGATCTCCTCAGAAGCTTTCCTGCAACTTGGGGAAAAGCTGCTTTTCTTATGGGACATCGCCTCCCGACTGAGCATCCCAGTGGAAAGCAGCTAACCACCCGCCTCGTAGACTGCTCCCTCCTGGAAAGGCTGCACTGTGCTGGTGATTGGGATAAATGATCCCTGGGGATCCTTCTCTCTGAGGATCCTTCTGGTGCCAATTCTTTCCAAATGATGTGGGAAGTAACAATTTCTCACACACCTTCCATAAGCCTTCAGACTCCCAAGAATTTTGCTAGCCTACAACTGATAGGTTTGTTTCCCTGTTTTCCCCATCTTTGTTGGGTGAAACACCCTTGAGGTAGGTAACAGAACGTCAGAGAAAATATACTCCAAGGAAGAAAATATACCAGTGACCCATTTGGGGGTCACATGGGTATGAAAGCTTGGGCTATGTCTTTGTTCATGCACCAGCTAGACACATAAATACTAGTGCCTACCAGAAGAGACAAGAAAGGCAAGAGTTTACTTCAAAGTGAAGTAATTGGTGAGGGAATTCAGAGCCTAGAGTCCAGGAGATGGAGCACGTATAAGGCTTCTCGTACCATTAGCAATTCAAAGGGGAAGACCTAAAGAACCAAAGATGGTTCTCTGAGCTTTGTGAGGCCAGCTCCCTCGAGCTGCCCTCATATTTTCTGTGGCTGGATCTCTTAAGGTTCACAGTCAAAGCCTGCATCTTTCGGACACCTGCTGTGGTTTTACGTGTGCTCAGAAGTTCCCATCCAGCTAAGAAGAACTGCCACGTCCTCCAGAAGTTGCCAACTCGTGACCAAGGAACACATGAGCCAGAAAGTTGCCTTGAGTACAACAAAATGTCTAGTTGGGGGGGAAAAGACTGATGAATACTTCGGCCATTAAGTTGCTGTCCCTAAAATTTACCTTTTTTCCTTGCCAAACACATCACTGTGGCATCATGTCAGGCTGCTTAGTTCAATTTGGAAGGATGAAATCTTACCAACTTAACATCTCCGCTTAGTTTAGAAGGGTAGAGGCTTAATATCTTAATATCTTGTAAGCTTATATTTATAGAGGTTGACAAACATAAGCTCAGTCTTAATAATTACCATCAACCAGAAATCAAGTTCCAGTGAAACAATCTATCTTGTTTTTAAGTTGAGTGCTTACATGGTCTAGAAAGAATTATTTTGAATGATAGCAACAACCACTAGGGAGAAGTGGCCAAAACGTAATTTCAAAATGAGTTGTATAATCACACAGTAACAGAGACTCCTAATAGTGTTTCAGTTACGCAGTGAGCACGAGCTGTAAGTAACATTTATACCACTGTGGGTAGCTTTGCCAAGTAAATAACCCTTATTATAAAGAGCAAAATATATATCTACTTTATCTACAAATGTGGAATGAGGAGCGGCCTTCTTTTAATCCAGTAAGAAAAGGTACCTCTGAGTAACCAGTGATGATAATGATGATAATGATGATAACAAAGGGGAAAAAAGCAAGAGTCAATTCCTTTTTCCCCAACTCATTTAAGGGCCTACCCACTATTGTGTTTAGATACCCAGCATACCACACCTAAAGACTAAGGCTGGGCGGTTGGGTGATGGACATTGGGAAGGGTATGTGATGTGGTGAGTGCTGTGAAGTGTGTAAGCCTGACGATTCACAGACCTGTACCCCTGGAGCAAATAATACATTATAAGTTAATGAAAATAATTAAAAAAAAAAAAAGACTAAGGCCGTTTCCCTATCACATACTCAAATAGACCATTCCCAGATCGTTGTTCTTTTTACTTGTACAAAGAGCAACACTCACAGCTGAGTTTTGGTCGGTAAACCAACTTCAATTTTTAAACCAAGTGCATAAACCATTTTAATATGAGATGAATGAGAGACACCCGATACTGACACTTCAGGTACGTGAATTCCTTTAACACCTGCCGGGAATCCTGGCAATAGGTACCGTTGTTATCCCTCTTTAACAGAGGAGAAAACTGAAACAACAAAGGTTTTTATTTCGTAGCAATGAACGATTAAAGGTAAAATCAAAACCAATATTTATAATAACATTAAAACCATAGAATGCTTAAGGATAATTTTAAGACAACATGTGCAAGAAGCACACAGCTAAGAATTGGTATAGGAGGGATTTCAACTCAGACAGCCGGTGGTTCCAAATCTAAGTATTTAACCAATAGGCAGTATTGTTTCCCCAGTAATGGTATGTAGGTAAAATTAATCAAATGTCTAGTGATTCCTGGGCACTGTGTTAACCCCTCTCTGTACATTAGCATATGAGGCTCACCAGTTGGGTCATTTGGACACAGGAGGTAAGAGGCATCACCAAAGAATCAGCTGGTCAACTGTTCTGTGTCTTTGGCGTAATACCCCAGCGTGGATGTGGTCCCTGTGACTTAAGACTGCAGGATATTAGCAGTAAGAAGTTCTTGTATTCTCTCATCCTTACAGGGGCGGCATGGTCCAAACTAGTGAGCAGTATGAATTCGTGCACCACGCTCTGTGCCTGTATGAGAGCAGACTCTCGGCTGAAACTGTCCAGTGATTCTCTGAAGATTTACCAGACCCTCCAGCTCTAGGGGTAGTTAACCAATTACCCACCCGAGGCTTCTAGAAGGAGCTTCCTGCCGTGGAAGGAAAGCGAAGTCCTGAAGCTGAGCTGTGGCACGGATCGTGGAAGAGGGCAACAATTACAGATCGGCATCCCCTTGTGTATATGAATGCATCTGTAAGCATCCCCTAAATTATTCTGAAGGTCCTGTGCTGATGGAGGTATGATAGACTTCTCCCACAGCTAAGGAGGATTTTATTTGTCCGTATTGACTACCTGCCACACAGAATGTATGTTATGAAATCCTCGGTGACATATGTCATCAGATAACAACTGGAAGAGCTGCTGAAGACATTATTATTGTGTGTTTAGATGCTTTAATGTTTGCAAAACCTGTCTCGTGAATGAACTGTCAGCTGTTAAACTGTTCCTGTTTTAAGTGCTATTACCTTTCTCAGTTACCAGAATCTTGCCGTTAAGGTCGCAAGTGATTGATAATAGATTTTTAACTAATAAGTCCTTGTTTTTGAAAAAAAAAAAAAAATCTAAAGCAGTACTATTTTATATGGAAATGTGTCTTGATAATATTATCTATGAAATGTGTATTTATCAGTACCTCCTGTCAATCAATTACAGAGCACAATGATTGTCACTGGGTGTGTATGTATTTAATCTCTATTATTGGACATGGAGATGGTTTCTGCTCCAGAACTCCAGCCACTGTATTTCTACATTGTGAGTCATTTTACTTTAAAAGGGAAAAACAAATTTGTATCAACAATGATGTATCCAGAATTTTAAATACCTGTCTCTCTTTTACTAAGAAGGATTTTTGAATATTCTGTCTACCTAAAATCTCTCCCCACCCCCCAAAAAAGGTAGAAGCCTTTGGGAATGAAGTAACCTGTCCTGTTCCCAGAAGTTCTTCAAAAGGATGCTGCCTTGGATATTCTTAAATTTCTGAAAGGTTTTCATCCTCAAGAGACAAATAAAGTTTTAAAAAAATGCACTCAGCAAACACTAGATGTTCTGCTCAAGTATGAATTTTTAGTGCAGCTATGTTGACTGTGTTTCATACTGCCAATAAACTACTCTTAATACTAAGTATTGAGTAAAGCATATGCTTTTTTTCCTCCCCTCTATTGGAAGGAAGCTCTTCTCTTTTGGGGGAAGCCTGGCATAGATAATGAGATGTTTAATTTTACTCTCCGCCTCTCCCCAGAAGAGATAACTATCTCGCAATGTAATATTGTCATCGCTTGAGGAATAATGATCTAGAAGTGCCATCATTATGTGGTTTTCCTCAATAGACTCCCAGCATATCATTAGACAAACAGTACATGTTTATGTCTTTATGTCACTTGTCATAGACCCTCATAAATTACATGCCTTGTGTTTATTCAGCAGAATCAACATCACCTGAAGAGATGTAATTTTTTAGGAACATTCAGTTACCTAAGATTGCAATTCCTTTCTTCCCTCTTGAGGTTAAGAAGTCGTTATGGGCCACAGGGATGCAGGAGAAAACTTACAAGTTTTATTCTACTCTGGGAGGGCAGAATTTTTTCTCCGTAAAATAGGAGAGGTAATCATAATCCCTTCTTTCTAAGGAAACAGACAAAAGGACACTGGTGTAAAACTTCCCCAAACAATTCAATAGGAGGAAGTGCTCGTCACTGACTTTTTCCCCCACCATGAAGGCACATTTCCTTCCTAGTTTTTGCTTCTCTTATCTGGGAGATTTTTTTTCACCCCCAAGCAAAGCATGAACAGTTGTTAAGTGGAAAATGGAGGCTGAATTTTACATGGCGCTTCTTACCTGCTTGATCTTTGGGAATTCAGGTGAGTGGGCTTGCCTCTCTCTTGTGGTGTTTTCTCCACTAGCCAGCAGAGGAGTCTCTGTCCTTTGAAAAATGTCTGAGCTAGGGCGGAAATGGAGCCAGGTCTCCATGGCAGTTTAACCAAAGACGCAGAGGAGGAGGGATAAAAGGAGCCAGCTCTGTCCACACAGTTGAGATTTCTCCCTAAAAGAAAACAAATGGTCTCCACATGTCCTCCAAATGCCTCGGGCTGCTCCTGACGTGGCATCTTTACAGCAGAGAGTAAAGCACCTTGAGGAGAAGTTTTGATGATTGTGTAACAGTCTGTGGCATTCTCCATGTTTTTTCCTTATCAGGTTATAGGTTTGTTTTGTGTGCGTGTTAAAGAAAGAAAGTCTGAGGAGATGTAAGTATAGGAGGTGAAGAACTGTGGTGTGTTTTATTTGGAAGTTGTTATTTGGAAGGAAGTTCTGAATATTTTCATGAGAGAGCTGAGCGAATTAGGTAAAAGTTCAGAATATGATTTCTGAGTCTGAATATTTCACTTTTTAATACTGATGTTTAACAATTGGATGTTTAATTTTTTTATGTTGACAAATGCTGGGTTTTTTAGTCTATTATTTATCGAGGGGAAGTCGTAGGTATTGTCACAATATAGAGAAATGCTTCTCTCCAGGACTGTAAGAAATGGTGTTTGTAATCATCAATACCTTCTTTGGTGGCTAATAGCTAAGAAGGTTTAGACGGGTGGGAAAAGTTGTTTTGTTTTGGTTTTGGAGAAATACATCTCATTTTTAAACATGTATTCAAACGATGCAATTTGTATACAAATACTACAGGGGTAAGTTCAGAATTGGAGAGGGGGGGCTTTTTAGAGAGGGGGATGGTGATGAGATGGAAAGACTAGAAATGGTTAGACAGCATATTTAACTAATCGGGTTCAAGTATCACACCATATTCTCTTAATTGTTTCGTGTCTTTTCCACAAATCCTTTCATTATTTCAATGGGAGTGTGTTTTCTTCCCTGAGGCATGTGATAGTAAAAGAAAGGGAGCAAAGTATGACATTTTGATATTGTCAGCCTTGGGATTTTAAATCATATGTTTTGAATCTGGGAATATTCACTTGAAACGATAGCAATAACAAAAGATGAGTCAGCCTCATATTGTCATTTGGCTGATTTGTGAGTGGGTTGTTTTGTTTTCTGATGGGCCTTATAATTTTCTACACACTACCTTATGAGTCTCTCGTCTTCCAGAGGGGTTTCAGATTGTCCATGTCCATAAGCAAGAGTGCCTTTCCAAAAATAAGAGAGTGGTCGTGGGTTTGTGTGATGCGACCAGCCAGAACCAGCAGTGGATGTGGACTGAGGATGGAAAACTCCTTCATGTTAAATCTGCTCTGTGCCTGGGCATCTCCAATTCTCGTGGCCCTTCCCTATCAGCTATCTTTACCCACTGCTCCCAGGCACCCCGATGGACTTGCCATGAGCAGGAAGGGCTCCTTGAGGTGGAAAATACCTCTCTCTTTCTCAAGAAACAAGGCTCCAAGGTAGTGGTCAAGAAGGACAGGAAATACCTCCATAGCTGGATGAAAATGGTTATCAACCAGAAGGGAAAACCAGTCAATAGAAGCCTCTGCTTTAAAAAAGGTGAGCTCTCCTTTTTGGAATCGATTTTGAACGTTTTTCTGCTCAATGTTACATTATGTTTGTTTTGTTTCACATTAAAGGGATGTCTGCTTACCTCAACTCAATGCCCATGGGAGATTCATAAGCTATTGGAAATGGATCATGTGGCTCCTACTGACGTGGAAAGTTTCATTATTCTCATTAAATAAGCCCAACATCTTTCCTTCTACCTCTTACTTTCCCTTCCCTTCTTTCCTTGCTGCTTTTATTAGTTAAACAAATATTTCTTGGGTTTCTTTTTTGTACCACACTGTAGGCACTTGGGTTGGATACCATTCAATGTAGCGGTATAAATCAGGGATACACATAGTGTACATATGTAATGACTAAAGCCAATGATGAAGAAATTATTAATTATGCTGATGTAGACGCTTCTATTCTCTGATTAGGAGGGACTAGTAGATCATCAGAATGGTGTTTGAGAAGACTGGCAAAATGGGAAAATACATTGCACATTTGCAAATCTCTTGTACTAATGTTTAGAGGTACAAGAGGTCTCAGACTTTTGAAATGGTAAGAATTGATGTGTAGCCACAGGGTTTTCTAGCTTGTTGACCACTGATGGATATAATCTAGGTGACAGATACAAGTAAAAACTTGCATACATGTGCAGAAGTTCCTGGTACAGTACACAGTTCAGTCCTGTGCTGCGGATTTTATTTGTGGATACAGCCCAATTTTCTTTTTTCTTAAGACTGTTTTTATTTATCTGAGAGAGAGAATGAGAGAGAGTGTGTACAAGCAAAGGGAGGGGCAGAGGGAGAGAGAGAAGCAGACTCTCTGCTGAACAGGGAGCCCAACTCAGGGCTGATCCCAGGACCCTGAGATCATGACCTAAGCCAAAGTCAGGAGTCTGACACTTCACAGACTGAGCAACCCATGTGACCCTTAATTTTCTGTTTTACTTAATCATTTTATTGCTTATTTACTCCTATAGTAGAGATTTGCTTTAGGAAGTCATGAAAGATAAAACTAATGGAATCATTATATATTAGGTACCAGCAGACCTTACAAATCACTGAAGATATTATCTAGAAATGAAGCCCATCATTGAGGAGACAGAAATTTACCAAGGTCAAGTGAATTATCCCAGCTTAATTGGTGGCAGAGGTCTGATTAGAACCTAAATTTCTTAATTCCTTGTCCCATATATATTCCATCATACAGTGTTTTCCAAATGCTTAACCACAGAATTTTGCCCAGTTGACTACATAAGAATCACCTGGAGGAGGGAAGGAACTCATCGCCATCATTTCTTCTTTCCCACCACCTTCAAGATTCAGTTTCAAGAAATTTGGGCTAATGCTTGATTTTTTTTTTTTTTAAAGTTCCTAAGATAATTTTGATCCATAACCCCATTTGGGGATCAACATTCACTGTATTGTTATATCTTTTTTTATTAGATGTTTATTTTAGGGGCTTATATGAGTCTCTTCACCATGCTGATCCTTGGATGGTTTTCTGTCTCTAGTTCACTTCATAAATGAAATAAGTACTTAATTACATGCTAGTTGAGTGCAGTGACTCTTCTACAATAGAAGTTGACTGCATAGTCCTGAGCTTATAAAACTTCTAACTAAGAGAATAAGGTAAAAATGATAAAGTCAGTTAGAAAATTCAACTTTATCAGAGAATATACAGCACATGACACCAATTTGTACATTTCTTTTCCTATAGTTCACTGAGTGAACAGTGAACTGTCCTAAGCAATACAGAAACATTGTAAATATTCTTGTTCTACCATTAAACACTAGAAGTAAGATTCTTTTGCAGCCCCCATAGAACCTTATTTAGGAGAAAGTTTCATTGGAACTTTTAAAAAGGTAGACATGGATCAGCAAAGAGTTCTTCAAGATAGAAGGTAATTAAAGGGAAAAAATGATTTCCTTTGACCTTCCTGCAGAACATGTCCAATGATGGACTTTACTTCAAAAGTAAGTGGATGAAATAGATCATTTACAGTTAGCCTCTGAACATATCCAAAACTGTATCCAAAACATGCCCGATCATGTAGACTGGAAGAAAAATGGACT